AAAATTTTGAATGAAAATGAAAATGAGTTAACTATTGCATTCCTAAAATTGAAATCTATTTATTACATCAAAAAAGGAAAGTCCATTTGACATATAAATACTGTCACACCCCCGAACCAGGACGGCGAAAACGTCTGGGGATGGATGACGTCATTGTATACTATCAAATAAATTGAATATGAATGAAACATAGCAACCAACCAACAGCATACATTAAGAAATATCAACATACATTGTTTACATATTGTATTTGTTCATGAAATTACACAAAAGTGACATAAAGTATGAAATTCTGAAATGCAGCAAATCTAGTTCTTAGGTACCTGCTTACTGGTTCCCTAAGAATACAAGTCATTTTGAAAATCGTCAACATTGAATGTTGGTGAGTTCATAAGCATATTTGTAAGAAAAGATTTGTAACATCCTTGTTTGTAATCGTTTGTATGACTCTAGAAAATCCGAAATTTTCTATGAAAATGGTTTGTAAGTCTCGTTCCAAAACTGTGAATATATACATGCATGTCCTTTGTTTTCTTTTGTTTGTAAATGTAAAGCGTGTTTTTCCAGAAAATCTAATATTTTCTTACAAGTAAACTATAGTCTTAAACCCTAAGACCAGAAGTATAAGTGACTGTATACTGAAAAAGGATATGCAGTTTTATATTTTAATAAAATCGGTGAAGTGTAAGCTTCCCATAAACCAAGATAATATTGTTAATCTCTAAGTGAGTTCTTATAACCATGCTTGATATGACTGTTATGCCTGAATGACGTTCTTCAGGCGTCGGAATTGGTAGACTTTTGTCACCCTAGACTTGTCGGTCTAACTGTAGCGAACATCTGAGGTGTGGGGTTGTCAATCTCGTATAGATCTATACACAACGGTCTCGCTCTCCCTGCAGGAGACTCTGGTTATAATGCAGGACTTAAGGTGTACACTAGGTAGGTACGGTGAAGACAGTGTCTCACTAGAGCCTTAACGGATTTACGCGAACTTTGACTCCCATTAATAAATGGTGAAAATGACATTACTAGTATAAATTTATGACTGCAGTTTTATGACACACGTTTTACAGCTTTTATGACATAAATTTCATTTCTCATGCTTTAAAAGCTTTATGATAGACAGATTATGACACGCAAATGTTTCTGTCATAAATTATGTTTTGTTTACCATTTTGGTTAAATTATTTATAATACCTTTTTATAAATAATCATTAATAAACATCTATAATAGTAACATATGTTGTAAAAATAGTATAATACCTTAGGTTTTAAGCCATCAAAATAGTGACAACCTAGTTACGACTATTTTACTAATAAAACTATTTTTAGCAAAATAATCAAGCTTTGTAGTTTGTTTAACACACAATAATAAGTTTGAAAGTTTTGTAATACAAAATATTCCATTTGGTTGCAACTCTAATATGTCACAATTTTTACAAAACACATATGATAACCATGACATCTTTTATCTTCAAATATTTGTGTAAAATATAAGAGTTAAAAATGCATATGTCCAAGAGTTAAACATGTTTGGGCATATCACCCATAATTTCGCCATTTTTGAGTGTACAATCATAACCACAAAACTTTTATAACACAAAGATGTTATAAACATGTACTTTATGATTTTTCACATGTTAAGAACCTTTTTATTCAAGAACTTGTTCCATTTTCAACCCATAACTATGATGCATGCAAATAACCAAAGAGTAAACGAGACTTGACTTGTATTCTCCCCCCGAAAAGTATGAAAAACACGAAAATATGGGGGTATGAAGCTCACCTTGATTTCGTGTGGTAGGAAGAAGAAGAAGAAGGAAGTTTTCGAGCCTAGCTTGGTCTTGGAGAGATTCTCGAAAAGTTGATGTTCTAAGGGTCATACACACGAAATTAGGTGTGTAAATGGAATGATTTTAACACTAACATGTATATAAGCACTAGTGTCTTACAAGGAACTTACCAAGTTCTTGAGAGTTGCTTGAAGAAAATACCCTTGAGGATGGTACCACACACGAATTTGTGAGAGAGAATGAGAGAAACTTATGAGTGAGTTTGAGAGAAGTGTTTGGTGTGTGGGTAGGGGAAGGGTCGGCCGCAACATAAGAGGGGGGGGGGAATGGGTTGACTTTTGTTGATGCTTGATGTGAAGCTTGCCTAGAAGTATGATGGTTAAAAGCCTTGTTATTTGTGGGATAAAAATAAGGTGGCAAGCCTTTTGCCAATTTCTTTTCTCTTTGTTTTTTTGTTTTACACATACCCTAACCGACACCCTATAGGGTTTTCGGCCTTCATGGTTTCTTGAATGGGTTTTCGATTTTGGCTTGGCCCATTAAGAGGTTTTCGGTCCATTAAAGCCCAAAGGTAGAAGGGTTTTCGTTTTGGAGTATGCATGGGCTTATTGGGTTTAATTGGCTCCAATAAAAGGGTTTTCGGCCCAATGAGGCCCAAGGATAAGTTTTCGGCCCAATAAGGCTCAAGGAAGAGTTTTCGGCCCAATAAGCCCCAATGAAGAGTTTTCGGTCCAATAGGGTGTTGGACCGAGAATTCTTGGACCAAGGCCCAAAATTGATTGTGCTTAGCTATTGGATCAAATTTTGGACTTGTAAGAGGCTATTTCAACATGGTTCACAATGTATGCTCGTATGTATTCAAATAACATTGTAGTTTGAATTTCACTAAGTTGATGTTATAAAGTTACATAGAGGAAATTTTTGTACATGAGACACCATCTCAACCCTAAATTTGCTAGTTGTGACAAATACTATGTGGAATTAATAAAATGAAAAAAACCAAAAAATGTCAAATGCAAAAAAAAAATTTAATTAAAAATAACCATAAAATGACATGTGGTCAAATTAATGAGAGTGCGACATGTGACAAACAAATTATTTATTAGAGTAAACTACGTTATAGCTCGTAGGAAAAATTTTATAGTAAAACTCATAATTATTAGTCAATTATTTTTAATAAATTATTAATTAAACATGATTTTGTAGGATTTTCAATATATAAATACAATTAATTATCGGCAATCATAACCGAACTCATTCAAGATGAATTTAAATTTCTCCTAAAAATCAGGAATCAAATAAATTATTGTCTAACTTATTATCAACATTAATACTTTTCAAAAATAAAAAATAATAAGAAAATGTCAAGTGTCATTTTTATAGAGGATTTGAAAAGAAAATGTAAATCATGAGAAAATGACAAATGGCAATAATAACTATTCTTTTATTAATATAAGAAGATTTATTTGTTTATTATTTACATCTTTTTTTTTTTACACATTTGTTCATTTGGTAGGTAATTTTCGCAATCTTCATTTCAATTTGCACTTTTACTAAATAAATTCTTAATCTATGCTTCTACAACTTACAACCCTGTAATAATCACATCTTCTTAAGATCATATTGATTTTATCCCTTCTAACTATGTTTGCAATTCGATTTTTCTTTACTCTTCTAACCATGTTTGCAATTCGTTTTTTCTTTATTATTTCTAACTTTCTTTCAGAATTATTAAGTAAATGTGTATTCGAATCGTGTCTTTGTTCATCCTTCTCAGTACTTTAATCATATTTGTTTTTATATTTACTTGGTTGGGATATCGGGGACTTGGAGAAGACCATCTATGATTCAAACAAGAAGAGTGGTTGATTAATTGTGGTTTTAATTATCATCCTATTTTTATTTCAATTTAACGAAATTGTTTATTTTATCATTTTATGTTGTATTTTAAAATAGGGATAATGACTTGAGAGGGTAACATACTATTACTCTTGGTCGCATTTGGTCACTAAATTTTTTTTCATGATCTAATAGCCCTTTAACTTGTTGATTCGTGTAGATTTTCCCTTCCGACTGCTTATTGCCGGTTTCAACGGCCGAATCGATCCTAGGTGTCTTTTTTATCCAACGTGGCAAATGAAGTGGCATGTAGGGCTAATTAATAAGGATGGTATTAAAATAGGGACGTTGGTGGTTCCTTTATTGTGCCCTAATACCCCGATGATGGCTTTCTCTTACAGCTTAATTATCCTCGACCCTCGATCGATCAAGCAAGAAATCAACAGTAAACAACAAAAAATCTTGTGATTGCGGGTTCCCTACACATATTCTAACATCAACAACACCAAAGAATCCAGCGAGACATTTCATGGTGTGCAATGAGGTATGCAATTTCATTTGAATCTTCCCTATTTTCTGGATTCGTTATTCCTGAATTTCTTCATCTTTTTGAATTGTTTGTTTTGAAGGGTAAATGAAAATATTGGAAGTGGTTGGATGTAGAACCTGCATAGATGCCTGTAATCGACATGGTGGAGGGAATGAAAGTTGATTTGGTAGCATTGAAGACAAAAGTATAGAAGGTGAAAGAAGACATGGAACAAATGAAGAAGGAAAAGTATTATGATGCCATTACAATGAAGGAAAAATTATATAAGTTTACCGTAGGATTTATTTTGTTGATCATTGTGTATATGATGAAATGATGTACTGAAAAATGTTATTTAAATGATGTATTGAATGATCTTAACTTCTTGTTTGAATGTAATGAAATCAGGAAAAGTAGCATACATATAAGTTCACCATATATGATTCCATTCTTTGATTGGAATGGAATCAGTGAAACAACAATGGAATCCGGAAAAGTAGCATACATACACAATGAATACATATATTATTTCATTATGTGAATGCAATGAATACAATGCATACATATAACAAGAAAGTAATTGAATGTGATGGTTGGATTCATTGAAATACTCCATTAACATTCGAAATTAAATAAAGGGCAAGTACTTGTCTTCATACACAAAAGTTGTAGCTAGGTAACAAAAAAGATGGGACAAAAGATTCTTGCATAACAAGGGCCACAAAAGAAGGGCCACCATGTGCCCACACACCCAAAAGAAAAGCATAAAGAAAACACAGTAATTTGTCTTTACATCACAACATGATAACAAAAGATGTGCCCACCCACCCACTAAATTAATCAAGAACTATAGGGTTCTCTGTACTGCTCCCAACTCCAGGTATCTTCCTCATCAATGACATTTTGACAATCCCTTTAGAATATTGCCTTCGTCCACTTCCATCAATTGGGGCCCTTCTTCTTGGGACAAGACTTGCACCTTGTGGTGGTGGAGGTGGTTGGGCTGCTGGTGGTGGTGGTGGAGGTGGTTGGGCTGCTTTTGGTGGTGGTGGAGGAGGTGGTTGGGTTGTTGTTGCTGGTGGTGGAAGTGGTTGGGCTGCTGTTGCTCCACTACCCCTGGATGAACTTGGTCCTGCTTCACTACCCCTTGATGTTGTTGGTGCTGTCAAAAAATTGAAGTGTCAATTACTTATCAAATGATGTATTATGTTCAGATGAACAAAATTTACCTGATGTATTTGTTTGTGTTTAGATGGACACTTTTTCTTTTTATGGCTTGGTTCCTTGCAAATACTACACCTTATCAGGGTTCCCCTTCTTGTCACAGAATGTCTAACTAGGCCACTTAACTCTCTTTGCACTGCACCCCTCTTCCTTTTCACTGATGCTTTGGTCAAGAAGATGTTGAATTGATCACAAGAAGATAGAATCGGCAATCTAAAGTTAAAGGATGTTGTTGGCAGCTTTGACCCCCTGTTAGTATTTTGACCATATCTCGAGAACCGTAACTCCGATTGACGCGATTCAAAATGATCTGAAAAGTAGACGAAATTTCGGACGTCTTAGGAACAACCTGCGATCGCAGGTTGCCTTCATGCGATCGCATGGGGCCCTTTTGCGATCGCAGGTTAGGTCGGAAGTTGTCTTCGAGGTTCTTTTGTGCAAAAATTCATCCGGAAGTGAAAAATGAAAACATGCGATTGCAGGTTGTGTACATGCGATCACAGGTTGGCCAAAAAGTGCCAAAATGGTATCCTGCTTCATTAAAAAGGCCCGAGACACGTTTTCTTCAGAACCTGCGATCGCAGGTATGCCCTTTGCGATCGCAGGTACGTCGTTTTGACAGATAGACATATAAATACAGCCTCATAACCTTCCAGTAACCTAAGTTGGCGATTCTAGAGGTACCAGACGACGAAAATACGATTTTGGAGGCGTTTCTACTCTGATTTCATCAATTTCTGAAGATCTGAAGACTGTGGATCATCTCCTTCAAGTAGATTAGCAAGATTAGTTGTTTGATGTCTCTTTTCATCTGTTTTCATCAGATTTTGGCCATGTCCGGCTAAACCCTAGTTTTCAGTTCTGCAAAGACAATTACTTTTCATGTGATTGATCATTAGATCTGGTTTTTGTTTTGTGTTTCTATCTAGATTCTTCAGTTTTGAGCTTTTTGAATGTTTGATTTTAATTCTTGTTAGTCTGATCACCTAATTAGGGTTTAATCATTCCTGTTAATCAGACAATAGAATACGTAATTGTTCTTGTCAACTGGTAAAAGTAACAAGTAATAAATCGGTTCCGTGTTTGGGA